TCTTTTTGATTATAATGGCAATGTTTCTTTACTTTGTCATTCCTGCTGTAGCAGACCATAAGTTTGGTTGATTTAAAGGGGCCAAGAGCTGTACATTTCAGCTCCCCACTTACTGCCTATGATGTTGATGTTCATGCATTCAATTTATTTTTTCTTAATGCTTTAAATTTTCCGAAAGTCATACTTTGTCCTTTCCACATTCTGATTATCAATGTTTTTTTTAAGCAGATTCTTCTCATCTTGATTTTTTCCCCATTAGCCAATGAAGGTGCCAAAACTTTCCTCCTTCCATATCATTAAGGTCAACTCTACTTTTGCAAGGTAGATTTTCCCCAGTAGTATTCTGAGTGATTTCTAACATGAGGAGCTATTCTTTCAGAATTCTATCAGATGGTGTATCCATGCTGTTTATAAATTTATATAGTGCTTTCATTTTTTTTCAGAATGAGAGTCTCCATCTTAAAGTTTGTTTTAATGTGGAAATTCTGCTGAAACCTATTCACAATGAATTACCCTGCTGTTATGTGACGTTCTTATGATATAGCTTTTAGCACCACAGCAAGATGCAAGCCACTTCAGTGCAATTAACTGGATCATCTTGGAAGAGGAAAAAATAGAATAAACCATATTGTAGGTGTCTTGAATACTATGAGTGCATGTTTTATTCTCTACCCGCTGAACGTTTTTTCAGTAAAGAGTGATAATATGAGAAATGTAAAGTCAGGATAGGCTAGGCTAGGCTTTGAAACAAAATAAGTCAAAAATTTGAATAGCTTCAGCTAACATTTTAATAGTACCTTTCCATCATGGTTGGACAGTGGAGGTAGTCTGATGAATAAGTCAATATCTCAAACATTGTGGGTATTGTGACAGAGAGAAAGGAGAGCTCTTTTTCTCCACTTAAAAAAAAACAGTTTTATTACATGTGTTCATATATAATAATTCAATACTTTACTTATATTTAAAAGGATTGTGGGATCATAACCACAATCAATTTTAGAACATTGTCTACTTTTTTGTATTCATGCTTACTAGCTCTCCATTTATCCTCAGCCTTCTCTGCCAGAATCTTAAGAAACTATTAATCCAATTACTTCCTTGGTAGAATTACCTGTCCTGGATTTCATATACAGAAAAATATGCAAAAGAAAAGAAAACAATAACAAAATGAAAAAGAGAAAAGTCTCAGCTCCCCATTTATTCCCAGCCTTCCCAGCCACAACCCTAAGAAACTACTAATCCAATTACTTTATTCATAGGATTATCTGTCCTGGATTACATATACAGAAAAATATACTGGAGAAAAAAACCAATAACAACAGCAAATGAAAACAGAAAAATCTCAATTAAAAAGATAGCAAAAATATTAAAAATTAAAGCAAATTGAAAAAGGTCAAAATGGAGAAAAAATGATAAGGTATTAAATTTTCACCTAACTACATCTGTATTAATCCACTATCAGGTACACTGTGTCTGATAGCAAGGCTATTAGAATTCCTGGTTAACAGTCAGAGGGGATTCGTTGGAGGCTTCATCCACATAGATACACTGTTAATGTATTTTGGGCTTTTACTGCTGTGCATAGCCTTCTGAAAACTGGGTGCTCAGAATTTAAGCTCTAATGCCATTTCAACTTCTGGTCTTAGGTTTTATTATTTTAAATCTTTGTTGGATCACACAGACTGGTGTGCTTCTGTGTAGACTTAGCTTACACCTCACCTAGATAGTTACTTGTTTTAAAACAAGCCTTTAAGGCTCCAGACATTATTTTTTCTGATAGTCAGATACCATCTATTTTCTTCATCACACATTGCTATAGTGCTCAATGTGCAGATCTTCAGTGAGCTGTTCCTGAGGGCAAGAATTGAGGTGAGCCACATCATAAGAGTTAATTTTTCTTAGATTAGGGCTATTATGCATGAGCTCAAAATGTTTTCACATATCTATGGTTTAGATATGTCTCTGGTTCACTTTTGAGATATTCTTATCATTTTATGGCATCATATTATAAGTCATCTCCATGGGAGATATGGTAATTCTATTGATAGCATCATTAATGAAGCCAATGATAGGTAGTTTATAATACTGTTGATAAAAGGAAAGTATACATGTATAGGGTCTTATTTTTAGATAAAGATACATTGATTGTTTACTTGAAAGAATTAAAAGAAAACTTAAGTGACTGGACACTATTTTTTTTAATCGTTTTATTAGGGGCTCATACAACTCTTATCACAATCCATACATACATCAATTGTGTAAAACACATTAGTACATTCATTGCCCTCATCATTCTCAAAACATTTGCTCTCCACTAAGCCCCTGGCATCAGGTCCTCATTTTTTCCCCTCCCTCTCTCCTCCCCCATCCCTCATGAGCCTTTGATAATTTCTAAATTATTATTTTGTCATATCTAGCCCTGTCTGATGACTCCCTTCACCCACTTTTCTGTTGTTCATACCACAGGGAGGAGGTCACATATAGATCCTTGTAATAGGTTCCCTCTTTCCAACCCACTCTCCCTCTACCCTCCTTGTTTCGCCACTCACACCGCTGGTCCTGTAGGGATCATCTAGCCTGAATTCCCTGTGACTGGACACTATTTGTATAAACAATGAGGGTTGGAGATAGGACAAAGCTTTCAATTATGCTCACCCATCAAGGCAGAACTATGTTTACTAGACTAACACATGTCATGAAAAAGCAAACAAACTATGAAACTAGAAAATAGATGGCACTCTTGCATTGCCATTACGAGGCACCCTCAAAGCAAGAGATTACAACCAACGTCCAATGATTTCCAAAGACATAACACTAGAGGCACAGGCATCAGCTTCTTCTCGCGGGGGGGTGCTTCAGCCTTATGTCTGAGGTAGGATTTCAGTTCCTTTCATTTGCTACAGGTGTATTTAAGGTAAAGTCCAGTTCACTTGATGGAGTTTCCAAATCGGACGTAGCCTATGAAAGATGTTGTTCTGAGTCTCCCACCTCCAGGTGGACCACCAAGAGGGGTTGAGTATGAAAAAGCTTTCTCATCCAAGTATCTGCAGAACTGGTCTCCTAGCAAGTCATCAAAAGAGAGCATCTCTTCCCATGAAGGCTATACTCAGATTATCACCAATGATAGGAGTCACCTGTTACCTTTGGTGCCCCATTCCAAGGCAAGTCCTTGGGGTTCCTTCATGGGCACCTGGCAAATGCTTCTGAAGATACCTCCTGCTTGGGTGACTCTGACCTCCCATACCATGGCTAGTGCTGCCTCCCTCACCAAATGGATACAGAAAAATCCAGATCTGCTGAAGGCCTCCAATGGACTATGTCCTGAAACCTTAGGCAAGCTTCATGATGCAGACAGCCGGAAGAAACTCGGGGAGAAGGCTATGACAAAGACTGAGCAGCAAGCACCAAAGAGAACCAGCACCCCAAACTCACCAGCCACAAGCTGCAGTTTCCATGAACAACTGCAAAGCCCACCCCCTGCTGCAGGTCCCACTCCAGCTCTCCAAAATCCACCTGCCTCTCCTAACAGCTCCCCTGGGAGCCCGTGTTCACTGGAATGCTGGCAAGGTCCCACTCTGACCCAGAGTCCCAAATGCAAACCTGGGGCTTCAGAAGAGAATCAAGGCCATGCTGAGAAGGAAAACTTAACTAAAGATTGAGGGGAGGAGGCAAGACTACACCTCTCACCCCACCCCACATCTCCAGGTCAGGAATTTGAAGGAATAGGGTCATTGTGGGATGGGAGCAAAGAAAGTTTAGAAAACAAACATTGTTGAATCTTCTAAAAACAAAACAAAAAAGATGTTATTCTGTGTACCTTAAAAAGACAGACTCTAAAATCCAAGATAGCTATAGCAAGGGGCATGAGTTGCCAAAAGCAAGCTAGAAACTAGGTCCCAAGTGCCTAATTAGGAATATCATATGAATGGCAGTTTGCCGCCCCTGGTTTAGCACTCTTTCTAGAGCCTCTCCAGCCTTTGTTTTTGACAGTTTTCTGAATTGGATGATTATAGGTATAACGTGATATCTCATCCCTGGAAAAGAGGGATCTTGAGGCTGTAATAATGTAAGGTAACATTTCTGTCCAGAAAAGGTGCACAACATGTGAATTACATCTAATTGGTGGGAAATAATTACAAAGTCCATCTAACAGTAAAAGATAAGAGAAATCCTACCCTTAGAATGGGGAGAGAGTCATTAAAGATTATGATAATGGATTTGGGAGGAAGAAGATAAGCAATGTTGCATCTTAGGAAAACAAAAGCATTTGTCACTACACACCCTAAAGCATATGATTTTATGTTCATTAAGCCAAAAACTGTTATTCCACTCAACCAGGTGGTTACTCAGACTAGCTCTCTGACCAAACAGAGAATACCACACTTTATGCAGCAAAAGAATCCCCGGTGCTGCAGCAATTAAGGGCCTGGCTATTAACCGAATGATCAGCAGTTCAAACTAACAGAGGCTCCACCCTAGAAAGACCTGACAATTGGTTCCTCTAAAAATTAAAACCTAGAAAACCCTATAGGAAAGGCCTGCTCTTTTCACACGAGTCCAAACAGACACAATAGCACCTTCCAACAGCAACATACAGCAGAGTTTAATCAGTCCACGTATTTAGAATAAATACAAAATAGGACTTGTTAGGAGAGGAAGACTCAAAACCCATGGAAGTTTAAAGTTTTTCCATTTAATTTTAATGTATTATATTTTCCCATAACTTTGATGGTTGTTCCTTTTGATATACAAACTTACGTAGCATTCCCCTCACTATTAACTTTAAAATTAAGAAACATCTGTTTAGAGCCAGTTTCCAAGGGCCAAATCAAAATTTGAGAAGAATGTGCCATTTTCTCGCCAAGGCTGATTTATCCAGGGTCAGCACACATGACAATGTGACCAGGTTTGACTTAGATTTTGTCCACAGTGTCAAAGGCTAGAGCTGTAGATCACAGGGGAACTTCTAAGCTGTCATTGGAATTGAACCATAGGCTCCTACAAACCCTTTAACCAGAAGACGTGCATACTTATGGTCACGATGGAAGCACTGAGAAAGGAAGACAGAGTGAACCATCATGCTCAGAGAAAGAAAACCATCCCATACACTTGATTTGTGAAAAGATATTTGCATTAAAAATATAAGGCCTAGTCTCCCACTTTCAATGATATTTAAAGGACACACATTTAAACTTAATGTTAAAATTATATTATTTCATACTAAGAATAGAATCATAAACTCTGTATGAAAATTTTAATTTATGTGAAATTATTCTTCACTTCTTACATCACTTTCTACTCGATTAACTCCCTACACTTATGATGTGAAAGTAGGTTTGGCTGAAATTGCTTGGTAAGACAGTTATAAATACCACCTATCAATAAGGACCATAAATGGCAAGGACACTTGAACAGATTGATGAGGACATCAGTATTAATCTATTAGGGATTCTAAAAATATGTCTATTAATGCTGTCAGCATCTATTTTTTCACTCTCGTTGCAACAAATTCATAAATGATAAAGAATTCCAAAATTATATTAGCATTTCAAGATTAGACCATTTAATTATGTTATAAAATTATGCATTCACCATTTAATGGTAATCACAAAGCAACTTATATATCTTCTTCTTTGAATCACAATAGAAAATTTGTTCTATTTATCCGGTAATATCACACTGCCTTGTCATGTTAGGCTGGGTCGTCTAGAGAAACAAGCCCAATGACACTCATATATGTACAGGAAAGAGATTTATGTCAAGTAGTAATTTTATACCATGAAGGCATCCCACCCCAGTCCAACTCAAATCCAAAAGTCTGATGCAAGCCAGGGACCTCTTCGGACTCACATAGCTGCAGGCCCATGACACAGAAAGGTGGCCAGGTTGTGGCGAGATCACAGGCCAGATTCAAGGTCAGTGGAAACATGCCAGGGTACCTACAACGCTCAGAGTTGGGTGGCCCAAATGGGGCTGCCCTAGAAGCAGGTAGAGTCCCAGCAAACAGAAAGGTGAAGGGGCAGAGAGAGAGAGGTACCACTGTCTCTCACTCTTATGCAAACAGGCTTATGACCTCAAAGAGGTGTTAATTGCACTGGGGCCCAATTGATAGGTTAAGCCTCATCCCTACCCTTACCAGAGGGGTCTCTAGTTCACATAATCACTAATCCTCACAGTGTAGTGACTTGAATGTCTACATTCAAGAGAAAAACTGCGAGGGTGACTAACCAATATGTTCAAATAATGCTAATATCGGTTCATTTTCTTTTTCTTCAAAGGTTACAACTCGATTTTATCATAAATTAAGTAAATTTGGAGTGACAGGTGTTGAACATTGTATGAACACTGTAAGAATAAATGGTGTCAAATTGTGTAGGCTTTATAGTCCATACAATTTCCTCCCCAAAGGTAAAGAGCTAATGATTTACCAAACTTTAGTGTCTATATCTGCATAACATGTATAATAATCACTTCACAGGTAACTAAATTAAGTACAAAAGTATATATTATGGACTATGGTGCTTAGTATAGTGTGAATACACAATAACGTATTAAGTAATTTTCACCGAGGTGGTATTATGAGGTAATCTCCACTATGCCCACTGTTATGGTTAGTAACCATTGTGCTGATGTCCCCATATGAGCATGTCTGATGTCCCCATAAATAAAATAGCAAAATGGTGCTCAGGTCTGTGCCAACCCCAAGACCACTCACGAACTGGACTCAACCTGTCAAAGTGCACAGAGAAAACAACATAAACTATTTCCAGAGTGAAGCGACTAGGTAATTAATATAAAATAGTCGGAGCTTTCAGATAGAAAACGTGTTTTTGATAGAATGGAGAGCGTATTGTCCAACTCATGAAATTTAAAAGGTAAATAATAACATGCAGACTGAACATATTCAAAGGTTGCTGTAATAAAGGATGTATTGAGGGAAGATTTCGTGTGCTAAAAGTAATTTCTTGAAATATTAATGAAACTGACATTTCCAACAAAGCCAGGTAATTTCACTTTGATTGAATAATTAAATTTGAATAAGTGAAAATGCATTTGCAATAAAGGAAAAAATTCCATTTTTATATTTTGGAGTTACATTCAATTATACCTTAAAGTTACATATTTTTCTATTCCAAAGAAAAAATAGAATCAATATAAATTTCACTTCATCCCCCAAATATTTTATTTTTAAGATATATTACCACGAACATGAAATTAATGAGATGAAACAAATGCATAGGAATTATTGAATATAAAACTGATGATCAACTCAATAAGCCTTCACTAAATTCACAGAAAAATATATGTATACACATATATGCAACTGAAAAATAAAACCACAAACTCTTAGAAAACATTTGTAATATTATCTTACCCCCAAAAATATAAAGTTATGATCCAGTACAAAAAAGACAAATGACCCAATTTTAAGCGGGCAGAGAGTTGAATAGATATTTTACTAAATAAACTATACAAATGGCCAATAAATGCATTTTAAATGCTCAGAGTGATTAGTCTAGTGATAAATGCAAGTTACAAACAGAAAGAACACTCTTTACACTTCATATTGTGATAAATTCTTCATCGTATTACAGACAACATTGTACTTCAAAATAGATCTTGAATTTGACATGAATGTGATACCATCTCTCTCGTATGTGTCATTTCAGCCGTAGTAAACCTTATGGTTTTCTGATTCAGAATCACCAATACCAGTCCATTTCAGCTCATTAACACCTACCGTATTGATCTTTATGTGTTTCATTTCATTTTTGATACTTTCCAATTTCCCAAGCTTCATATTTTATAAATTCCAAGTTCTGATTAGTAATTGAAGATTTCAGCTTTCGCTCCTCATTTTGATTCATGCCCCATCAGCAAATGAAGGTCCCCAAACTTTACTCCCACAGGTTAGCCTATCATTATGGTGGACTCTAAATTGAGAAAGCAGCTCTTCCTTGGTGATATTTTGTAGTTGACTTCTGACCGAAGGAGCTCATTGTCTGGGATTATGTCTAATAATGTTCTGCTTCTGTACATGAGGTTTTCAGTATCTGACAATGTTGGGGTGCTAGCCATTAGGTTGTCAGTGGTAATAACTCAGAAGTTTACAGCCCATTCCTCCTTCATAGTCTGTTCTTAATTTGGAAGCTCTGCTGAAACCCGTTCACTCTGGGTGGTCCTGTAGCATTTGAAATACTGGTAACGTTTTTCCAGCAACACAGCAACAAACAAACCATGTAGCATGACAAACAGAGAATACTGTCTCTAAAAGCATCATGTTTATTCTCTTATAAGGAGATCCAGCAACTATTATTCAAATATATACATCAACCATGAAAACTAGTGGTGTATAAATTGAACAATCCTACTAATGTCTTAGTCTAGAATTGATCAAATGTGCAATGGAAATGCACTGAGAACTATTGGTGATTAAAATGCAAAAGTTGGAAACTAAAAGGAAGAAATGGTGGTTGGAAAATATGGTGTAGACGATAAGAAACCAAACTGGAGATTGTATGATTTCATTTTTCAAGACCCATGATTTCTTAATTCAAAAATCCTTTTTTTCAATAACAAAAAAGATGACACTAAATGTGGACCTCTCCAGAAGGAATAAACAGAAATAAAATTAATTACATTTGTGAGAATAGATGAT